CTGTTATAAAATAGGATTGACATCAGTTTTGGGGGAAAACTAAGAAAGGAGGGGATAAATAATGCATACTGCATTGAAACATTGAGGGAGAGAACTGTTTAAAAGGAATATAGGATTAAGTATTATTTTCATGACAAGAGTCCAGAATAAGAGCTGCATAATAATGTGGCCTGGGGGAGGGGGATTGTATAACAATGAAAGATTTTTTTAAAAAAAAAAAATGAACTGGGTGGGGAGAGGTGGGCAGGGAGGAAAATGTGCAAAACTGAATGAATGGAAATCCAAGTCCTCTATAATCTTTCATTAAAATCTCAATTAAAAAATAACTGTAAAAACAACAACAAACGCTTATGAAAGAGTAAAAGAAATATGCACCAAAGAACACATGGTTTTCAACATTAAGTAATTTTTCCATAGGGATTTCATATAGCACGAGGTTCAGATCTGTTGTTCACAAGGTATCTATGAGTCACAAAACAACAATATCATTAAAATTAAATAATATCTTTTAATGGGGAAGGAATGCAAGCACAGACATGCCATGAGTCTAGATGAGAATAAACAAAAGGCTCTGGGATATGCTTAGAGAAGTAACTTCATACATGAAATCTCTCCCTATATCATCCGTAGGCAAACTACAAGATAGTATCTACAGTTTCAGAGGTAGTGAGGGTCTTCTTCCAGAGAACAGCAATAAATATCACAATTTTTTTTAAAAAGGAGATTTTTGAGAGATATGGAGAGAAGTAAGTAAATGGACTTGAGATTTATTTTTTAATAAGTTTTATAGACCTGATGATGGACAAAACTGGGAGTGGTCATCTATTACTCTGATGGTGGGGCAAACATTTAAAAACGTTAACAGAGAAACTAATAACTAGTTTGACTTTTTCTAGCCAGCATCAAAAAAGGTATTTTACACCACAAGATAAAGGTAAATAATCCAATTGAAAAATGGGCACAGGATATGAACAGACACTTCACCAAAGAAGACATTCAGATGGCCAGCAAGCACATGAAGAAATGTTCAAAATCCCTAGCTCTAAGAGAGATGCAAATCAAAACAACTATGAGATATCATCTCAGCCTAGTCAGA